CCCCCTCCCCTCCCCTCGCTGGTCTATTCCTGGAAGAGGTTCTTCCTGTAATGTTAATGCTGTGTATCATACACACACACAGCTTGCTGACGGCAGCCTTCCAAATCCTGCCTCCCTATTCCTGGCAGGCCTCACAGCTCAGGCGTCTCCCCATTCTCTAAAAGGGGTTTCCTTCCAAGAATCGCCGGGACACACACGCTGACCGTGACCGATCAATCATTTGCTTTCATTTCGAGGCCTCCGAGAGGCGACGACCGGCAAAAATCACTGGAAATCTCATTATTGCAAATATTCGTAGCGAGCGTGGCGAAAGATTTCCTTTCTTTTTTCCCTCAAATAGGTTTTACAGGAACGGATCCTTCCCGCAGAGCGTATTACCAGTATCGATGGCTCTTCTTAAAGGATAATTCTTCCTTTTTTCAGAAATCTGAGAGGGTGAGGGGCGGGGCGAGACAATCATCTGTTTCGTAAATCGTTTTATCGAGACAGTGTAACCGTACCGGTTGTGGTGGGAGGGGACTCGGAGAATTAAGAAAGCCCGATAACGGAATCGGCGCGCGGCGCAATAAAAGCCTTCTTAGAACAGAAGGTAAAATATACACCCGGAACCGAACGGTGCACAGTGCAAATAGAACCTGTTATCATGGAGCCATTGATCCCAAACGGCACGCAGGTGTTTCAGGCTTCTTGACCATCGTTAATGCAGTGTACGGCAACCATGGCGTCTATGGAGTAGGGTTTGGGACCCAATGGGACAGTATAACCATACAAGTTACATTTATTAATGTTCCTGTTCACATACCAAAATTTACATTTTACTGAGACCATGCACAGCTCTCCTGAGACCCCATACGGCCCACCTGAGACCATGCACAGCTCTCCTGAGACCCCATACGGCCCACCTGAGACCATGCACAGCTCTCCTGAGACGGCCCACCTGAGACCATGCACAGCTCTCCTGAGACGGCCCACCGGAGACCATGCACAGCTCTCCTGAGACGGCCCACCTGAGACCATGCACAGCTCTCCTGAGACGGCCCACCTGAGACCATGCACAGCTCTCCTGAGACGGCCCACCTGAGACCATGCACAGCTCTCCTGAGACGGCCCACCTGAGACCATGCACAGCTCTCCTGAGACGGCCCACCTGAGACCATGCACAGCTCTCCTGAGACGGCCCACCTGAGACCATGCACAGCTCTCCTGAGACAGTCCACCTGAGACCATGCACAGCTCTCCTAAAACCCTGTATGGCCCACCTGAGACCATGCACAGCTCTCCTGTGCATGGTCTCCTGAGACCCTGTAGGCCCACCTGAGACCATGCACATCTCCTGAGACCTCGTACGGCCCACCTGAGTCCATGCCCATCTCTCCTGAGACCCCGTACGGCCCACCTGAGACCCTGCACAGCTCTTCTGTGCCCCCTTAGGGCCCACCTGAGACCATGCACAGCTCTCCTGAGACCCCGTGTGCGCTAAATCTAGTGACTGACAGGTTGCGCAAAATGTCCTAAACAGGAAGGGGAGGGGCAAATATTAGATTGAGGGGGGGGGGTGCCCGAGTTTAGTCTTGCCTAGGTCAGCACAAAACCAAAATACACCACTGCCTGCACACTAGATGCGCACACTGTCTGTCCTAACAAAGGGTTAAAGATCTCAAGGCTCGGGTGATACATTGTATGTTTAGGAAAATGAGAGTTCCTGGCTCCTCCCCATCTATTCTAAACAATAGAAGCTGCCAAAAGCTTCCCATACATTCTATAGACAGATGTTTCATCCAAAGACACTAGAAGCGCATGAAATCTAAAAAAAATATGTTTTTAGGTATTGTGTGTGAATGGGAACCCATAATAAACATGGGGGGAGGGGGGGTTCCGAATATGTGACTGCAATGCGGCACGGACGGGGTTAACAGCAGCTCCGCAGCGCTCTGCGCCGTCTTATTGTTATTTTTTTTTTTGCAGGACGTGCGTCGCTCCGCCGTGTATTTCTGCTCTCCCGGCCTCCCCGTAACTACACAAACACCCTCTCCCCTTCTGGGAATCGGGGCTTTGAAAACACAGCTGCGGCCTCTTCAGGTGAAATGGAAACCATGTGCCTGGGGCTGCACGCAGCGCGGCGGCGGCCGGGCTCTGGCAGGCTGCAGTGGAACAGGACAGAAAATACTTCTCCTGACTGTTATATGAAGAAGGAGGAGGAGTGAAAGCGCCAATTCCCTGGATGGCCGGCCGGGGCGGAGGGAAATGAATAGGGCCCAGTGTGTTCACGCAGGACGGCGGCACGCACGGCCTTAGATAAACCTGAGATGAGCGAAAAGGAAAGAAATGTTAATAAGAAGTGGAAAAAAAGCCGGTATGACGTTAGCGCGCCTGAGGGAGCCTCGCATTCCTCCCGCCTGCGCCATCCAACGCCGAGGTCGCCCCCCTTCCAAAAAGACGCTGGCACGCTCGGGCCGCTCACGCCTAAGCTAGTAACGGTTTGTAGCCTGTATGTGCGCGCGGAGTCATGTGATATAACGGCTTTATCGTAGGAGCGGAGAAGCGCGGTTTATGCGGCGAAAGATAGTAGTCGGCGCGGTTGGATCCACCTAAGGCCCCATTCACACGTATTGATATATATCGCGCGATTTCTGCCGCGATATTGCGCATTTTTGGTGCGCGATATCGCGAGAAGTCGCCGGCTAATGATATTCAATGAAGCTGTCTTAGCTCCATGTCTCGCGTCGCAAGTCGCTTCTACAGGACCCTTTTTTTCCGCGGATTTTGCGCGATTTTACTTTTTTGTAATGGAGCCCGACGGAGAAGGTCGCACTATCGTCGCTGGAACGTCGCCCCTAAAGTCGCGCTATCCCGGCCGCTGCAAAAGGTATGTCGCTACGTGTGAATGGGGCCTTAAGGCGACTGCGCGTGTTACAATAAGGCCCCATTCACAGTAAGCGACACTTACCTCGAGCGAATTTCGGCGCGGCAGGATAGCGCGACGTTCCAGCCGCGATCGCGCGATCTTCATCGTCGGGCTGCATTAAAAAAGGAAATTTGCGCGACATCCACAGGAAAAAGGGTCCTGCAGGCGCAGCTTGCGACCGCGACGAGCGACATGGAGCTGTACATTAAGACTGTACATTAGAAAATCATTGGCCGGTGACTTCTCGCGATATTGCGCTGCAAAAATGCGCCATATCGCGGCGGAAATCGCATGATTTTCCGCTCAGTGTGAATGGGTCCTTACCGTACGATCTCCTTTAGGTCTCGTTCACG